AGAAAAGAAGAAGAAGAAGAAGAAGAAGAAGAAGAAGAAGAAGAAGAAGAGGAAGAAGAAGAAGAAGAAGAAGAAGAAGGGAAAATCAGTAACAGATCAAGAAGGATCCAATTTTTTAAACATTACAGTTGATCTCCTTTTATTTATTCATTCCAGAGGTCTCCAAACTTGGCCACTTTGACACTTGTGGACTTCAACTCCCACAATTCTCCAGCCAGAATAGCTGGCTGGAGAATTGTGGGAAGTTGAAGTCCACAAGTCTTAAAGTGGCCAAATTTGGAGACCCCTGATTTATTCCTTAGGGACTAATATGTTGCTTTTGATAACATCCAAGTAGAAGCTGTTTTTAATGCAGATTGTCCTCGCCTTATAACCCAAATTTCTGTTGCTAAGCGAGACAGTTGTTAAGTGAACCTTGCCCCATTTTATGATGTTTCTTGCCACCGTCATTAAGTGAATCATGAGGTTGCTAAATTAAGTGAATCTGGCTTCCCCCACTTGTCAGAAAACCTGAAAAGGGCAGGATGTCGCCCAGAACCATCGTAAATATGAGTCAGCGGTCACAGAAAGGGATCACAACCCACCGGGGACAAGGCCAACGTCATAAATACGAACCCTCAGCCAAGCAACCAAATTGTGCTCCTCAAAATTCGAATGCTTGGCATCTGATTCATATTTATGACGGTCGCCGTATCCGGAAGCGGGGGTGTGTGTGACAGGTGATCCCCTTTTACGACCACTGACTCATATTTATGACGGTTGCCAGGGTTACGTGACATGAAACCTCCCACTTTTGCGATGTTCCGACAAGCATGTTAAGATTCACTTAAGAACGGAAGCAAGAAAAGTTGGCAAAATGATTCCCTTAACTGCCTCGCTTAGCAACCGACACGTCGGGCTCCGTTTTGGCCGTAAGTCGTGCATAAGCACACCAATCGTGCCTACCGTCCCTGTCCTATTGTTTCTTTAGTTTTCTTATATGTATCCATTTCATGTATTCATAACTATGTTTATACTTATACCTGTTATCTTGTAAGCCATTGACAAATCAAATCAAATAAATTAAAATAAACTACCTGTACCTGCCAGCTAAATCATCCCCCCC